CTATGGTAAGAAGTAACTTTTAAAATGTTATGTGATTCTTATGTGTGCATTAGTATATGGAAATGGGTGTATGATATTATATGTTACATGATCTACATGCTTACATGAATATGCAATATGTGATATATGATGTATATATGAACATATGTGAACAAAATATGACATGCATGTTTACATGAGCACATGAGAAATAATATAAGTTATATGATATGGTTTATATGATTACATGCACATGTGATATATGTTATATGATAGGGATTTATGTGACTACGTGAGAAAGAATATATTTCTATGAGAAGACATAAGAACAAGGTATAAGCTATGTGACATGTGAATATGGATCATATAAAATGTTCTACGTGTAAGTGAACTATGTGTTGATATGAATATGTAATAAATATGAAAGATAATGCCCATATTATGTGTCATGAGATCTAGAGGTATAGTTGGCATGCCAAGAGTAGAAGGTCTATGCAGTCCTTCGGGACAAAATTCTACGTGGTTCTTCGGGACATATATGTATTCTTTGGAATATGTATGAGGTATTTTGAGACACCTACTTGATCCTTGGTATATGTACATGATTCTTAAGGAATTTCTATGTGGTCCTTATGGACAATCTTACATGACACTACGGTGCATTTTTACGCGGTCCTTTGGGACAAATTCTACGTGGCACTTCGGTGCAAATTTATACGAGATATGGTGACAGCATAATGCACAACCTCACAGTACTCATCACACCTTAAGTTCTCAGTAATGTACATGGGCCTATAAAAGACATCAAAAGTATTTACAAGATTCATATGTGATATTGTGTGTATTCCTAAGTGAAATGTATTTGTTATATGAGATTAGTAATTGTTTATGCAATGGTGTGATTTAGAGTTTACATTATATGTTGATATGTTATATAAAAAAATTAGTGATGATAAAATGAGAAATGATAAGCATGCTAATGATGTTATGTTACATGATATGTGCATGTATCTATATATTACATAAAAGAATATATGCTTTGGTATGATAAGGTAATATCAAATGTTCATGCATTGTAGAAGTTACAGTTAGCATATAATTATGTTTTATATGCCTCACTAAGTCATCGACTTAGCGTGTGATTGCTTCACGCGTAGGTTTTAAGAAGAGGGAGATTGATAAAAGTTATGCAAGACATGTCAGTTCCTCCTTTCCAAAGATCAGATCAGAAAAGAAATTAATAGTATGTATTTTGTAATTATTATAGTGGTTGGCATGTAAATAAAGTTTTGAATCTAATATATTTTAAAAGGTTAGTAAAATCATATGATTGAGTTTTGTAATTATTACTGTACACTGTTCATACTGTGTTTTACTGTTCATAAAACGTATATTTTCTTAAATTGGTTATAAAAAACATGATTCAACAATATATTATCGTATTTTCTTAAAAAAGTTCAAATGTTTTGTTATTTTGCAATAATAAAGGTTTTAAAAGTCAATGTGACATCTTGGACTCGTATTCCGGTAGGATACGGGTTGGGGTGTTACAAATGTAATGTAGAAGTTAATGTTTCTAATGCAATGTAGAAGTTAATGTTTCTAATGTAATGTATAAGTTAATGTTTCGAATATAAAATTTAGTACTTTGTATTTAATAAAAATTATTAATATGATTGTTAGAACTCGTCACGTCGGCATGACTAGTTCCATGGTTTTTTCCGTAGAAAATTATTTTGAAAAAAATCTTTAAAATAAAAAATAATTTTATTATGGAACTCGTCACGCCGCCGTAATGAGTTCCAAAAAAATATAATAAAATAATAAACCTAACGTCTGAGTCCATTAAAATATAATTTTCGACGGAACTCATCGTGTTAACGTAAAAAGTTCCACGAACACTCTAGCAAAAGTCTTAGTTCTTTAAATACATTGTTTTGTGCCGTATTAGGCAAAATTGAAAGCCCGGATACCGTAATGGGCCAGCAAACCCATAAGTAATTCTTTAGCCCAAACACTGATTGGACCTAAATCCAATTCAGCAGCCCGGATAAAGAAAAAGTAAATATTCCAACGAAACGTCAACTAAAATGTAAAAAGAAAAAAAAAATCTCAAGTCCCTACTAACTATTAGATAACCGTCCGACAGAAGCAATAAGATATAATCTGTCATCACAATATGACCCGACAATTCAGATTTATATATTAATACACGTTTAATTAACATATTTACTATTTATAATCATATAACATTTGTGGAATTGAAATATCAATAAAATATAATTTTCATACACACGATCATTTTTTTATAATAATTAATATTTGATTTATTAATCAATTAATTTAATTTGGATACATAGAGACAAAAATAACTCCCTCAACTCAGTTTGTTACATTTATAAACGTTAAAATTTACACCTCAACATTATTTGAAAAATCTCATATTTCATTTATTAAATCAATAATTACTAATTTCATGCACAATAATTGATTTTACGAGATGCTCTAAATATTAACATGTCCATAGAAAATCTATCAATCTTGTAATTTTTTTATAGAAAGCCGCTCATTTTATTAAAAGTAAGAAATATCCAGAATTATAATGAAGGTTACAAGTATAATTATAAACATATTTTTTTTTGGAAGTGATAATTATAAACGCAAACTAAAATATAATCAGGATGTTTTCTTATAACTATCAATATAAAAAACTAGCCATCTAGAACACAGAATGACCAAAGATGGAAAATGTTAAAAAATATAACCAAAAGCTAGAAAAAAAATATAGATATGAACAAATCTAACTGCATTGATAAACGAACCACAAAAATGAATAAAGCTAATAAAAGACCATCGACAAATCACAAATCAGAAACAATGTGAGAAAACTATTAACGAATACAAATCGTGTATCCAAATCAATTCAAGGGTCTAAATCAGGGAAAATAAACATGATAACAAATAAGCGACATCTTGATCAGTCGTGGCAATGCAAATCTAACCACGAGAAAAAAGATAAACGAAAACAACAGTCAAACAATAAAAAATATATCAAATGACAGATAAAAACGTATTATAAAAGTAAAGTAAAACATTTCATAAAAACAAAATTATTGAAAAAAGAAACGGAAACAAAGGAAAAACAAAGTTATGATATAAGAAAAATAGATGAAAAAAATTCTAGCGGCGGCAAAAAGGAAGCAAAAGAAAAAAATATTTTAGGATTGAGATAAAAGTTTTTTTAGGGTTTTGAATTTTGTTAATTTTTTGGGTAAACTATATTATTGACCAATCAACTATTTAGTTTTTTTATTTTTATCATTAATCTTTTAATTTTTGTCAATCAAATCACTTACCGTTAATATTTAACAGAGGTCCTGATGTGGCCGTTAATAAAATTAGTATAATTATACATTGTATCTTTAATATTTATATTTTTCTTTCAATTTAATCTTAATTTAAATTTAATTTAACAGATTAATTATTCAATCAGTCACCGCCTGATTGAGTGGTGAGTGGAAAACTTATAAAGTCATGCCTCAACCACTGCACTAGCCTCTCCTTTTTTACAATACTTTTTATATATGCTATTAAGAGTAATGACATAAAAAAATGGTGATGACAAGATTTGAACGTAGAACTTAATGTAGGTTGTGATCAACTTAGCCATTAGAATAAATTACATATTTTTGTTAGTTTATAATATTTTATATATGAAAGATATGAGAGCATCTAAATCATAAAATCTAATAAATAATATTATAGTTAATGAAATATTATTAGATTAATAGTTTAAATCAATATTATTTATTAGATATATCTAAATCAAATATTGTTTATTTAAAATTATTAATAATATTTTATATATGATTTATTTAATATTATTTATTAAAATATAATATTTTATAATAATTCAAATCACATATTTTTATTATTAATAATATTAATAATATTTTATATTAGATTTATTTAATACTATTATTAATATTATTTATTTATTTAATATTTAATATTATATTTATTTAATATTTATATATTAAATATTAGTAATAATATTATTAAATCGCATATTGTCTATTAGATTTTTTTAATGTTTTAGATGCTTTTATATCTTTCATATAAAAATATTATAATTTAATATCAAATATGTGATTTAGCCTAACCTTAGTTTCTAAGTGGTACCCAATCTACCATATAGTCCCAGGTTCAAAACTTGCCATTAATTTTTTTTATCTGCCATTAATGAGAATAAAATATATCAGTAATGTTGTAGAAATATTTTCAATTCAGAGACCAGACCAGTTAAGCTTTTCCAAAATTGTTCACTCAATCAAGTGGCGGATAGAAAATAATATTTAATTAAATAAATTAAAAGTAAAAAAAATATCATTCAATTAGTTGTTCACATATATTGGATCCTGATTAAATGGTTCATTTATAAATATATAAATATTAAGGGCTGAATGTATAATTATATCAAATTTTTTATTGCCACATCAGCATTGATGAAAGTGGTGGATAGAAAATAATATTTAATTAAATAAATTAAAAGTAAGAAAATATCTTTCAATCAGGTGTTGATATATGTTGGATTCTGATTAAATAGTTAATTTATTAAATTAAATTTAAATTATGATCAATTGATAGAATATATAAATATTAATAAATAAATGTATAATTATACTAATTTTTTAATTACCACATCAACATTTCTGTCAACTGTTAACGGTTAGTAGTTTGATTGACAACAATTAAATAGTTAAGTGGTTTGATTGACAAAGTTGAAAGATCAGTGGTAAAAGTGAAAGGGTTAAATAGCTAGTGATCAGTGTTATAGTTTACCCTAAGTGTTTAAGTTGACTTGTAATTCTTGTATGAGGGTTAAATTAAATTAAATAATTTTAATATTTCCAGTCTAAAATACATTACCTTGCTGGCTTATGAAACTCCTCTTTAAGCCACTGTGCACACCGCGGTCACTCGTAAGGCTTTCACGGTTGATTTTTTCCCCTTTCATTTTTTCGTTTCTAAGTAAAATAATCTGATTTTGCCCTTTTCTCTCTCTTCATTTTCGGATCTGCTTCCGACGCCATGAAGAAACCCTTTTCTGCAAATTCGACTTCAAGCTTCAGTTTTCATGGTTTGATATTTGAAAGTGCTTATAATTTGTTCATAGATCTGGGTTTAGTTGTATTTTTTTTAACATCTCGAATGTTGAGATCACCAATCATATCAAATACTTGGGTGGCTTGTCATAGATGATCAAAGGGTGGAAATACCAATTAAGCAGTGTGTGTATAACAGAAATGCTTAGGACATGCTTTGAATATTCCAATTAGTGACGAATTGTTTTGCTTAAAACTTTTTAAGTTAGTTTCATTCTCAGATTATCTTTCTCATTCCCCCCCCGGCTGGGGAATTCCTACTTGGAAAATTGTAGGTTAATCAGTAAAAAGAAGCTTAACTCTGAGATATGGAAATAGCTGTTATAGCATTGATTCTAGCTGTATTACTTGGAGCTGTTGTTTTGATACCTCGACATGGTAAATCAGGTAAAACTCAAAATGCTTGCGCGCTCGTTTCACTATTTGTTTACATAGCAAGTAAAAGATTAACTAAAATAAATCATGTATGTTGTTTCCTGTTGGTTCAAATTTGTTTCGTTGCAGCTCATAAGAACAGGGTTAAATCAAGTGTAGACGATTCTAAGGTATATTGGGGAACTTTGAAACAATCAATTTCCTTTTTTTTTTTTTGCAGTTTTTCAGAGTTCAAATTTCGTATGTTGTGTTTTTATAGCCAAAAGAATATGAATTCCAAGTTATAAGTAATACATTTGATAGTATTTCATGTATGCTTAGCTGTGTTATTAATATGCAGGCATGCTAATTAATTCTGAGATCTTTTGAAATACCATTTTCCCCCTCTTAGGCATCCAAATCCCACAGTAAGTCAGAAGTTATGCTACATGATAAGAGGACAGATTGTTGGATCATCATTAAGGACAAGGTAATTGGTGACATTGGCATGTTGCCGGGTTTGGAACTCAGAACTCATTGCCATTCTAACATATCTTGATTATGATTATATCTAACTATTTCAAGTTTATGATGTTACCTCATATGTAGAGGAACACCCAGGTGGTGATGCAATCTTGGCACATTCCGGAGATGATTCAACCGAAGGGTTTTTTGGGTATGCATTTGTTCCTTGTTTGGAATTGCATGGAAAATTTTGAAAAGTTCATGCTGCTACTTTTGGTTTGTCTTCTCTAGATTTGATTGGCTGCAGTCTTGTTTTACGTAGGGTTGGATCTTATGTAAGACTAGATAGTTCATGCAAAAAGTGTCAGTTCAACATCCGAAACATCCATCGAAAGTTTGTCATACTTGCACATAATTAAGGTTTTCCGTATACATCCAAAGCTTACTTGGTATTTTCTTCTTTTTTGTGGAATGCAATAGGCCACAGCATGCAACTCGGGTATTTGACATGATAGACGACTTCTACATTGGAGATCTTCAGAAGTAATTTGCAAGCAGCTGACCCCTGTTGGGTTGCAAGATTAGGGAGAAAAACACTTCTTAGGTCTCTGTGTTAGCCCACTGGTTTAACCTAGGCATGTGCTTTTTAGCTCATTTAGTCTCGTTTTAGCACATTTGATTGTCGAGTCGAACGAGACTAATAGAAAAAAAAGATTGACGAGTCAAATGCACTATTATAGGAGGTTTAAAAGATTTTTCTCATATTGATATTGACAATGTCAACACCAGTAAGATGTTCGTTGAGGTGGTACAGACCTTGCCTTCTTAGCTGTTTGAAATCGAAAGCGAATTTGTCGACAGGGCTTTCCCCTTAACCATTCCCGGCCCGACAATGACGAATCCCTGTTCGAAGTCCAACTAGCTTAAACATACCAATGTTTCATGTGCAGCTACCCAAAGGAGAATGATAGCTAATAATCTACTAATGGGATTAAAACAATTACCATTGGCATTGTTTCGCCATCGACTCAAATTACAAATATTTTGAGAGAATTAGTACAATTATGGTAATTATTAAATTTAGGATAAATCAGATAAAATATAAAGATATTTTTGTATAAGTTGGCAGCACGATCTATGAATAGGGAGCATAGTAATGATTGATAAAAGTGTGTGATAATTGTGTATTAAGAAGTGGGAAGCACGATCTATGAATAATGATTTGAGAGATTAATTGTACACATCTTTTTCTGTTCTTGTCCTTTATCCATGTGTATGCTTTAACGTCAATGAAATTAAAATTCTAAACACGATATTTTGTCAGTATAAGTGCTTGAATTTTATCGGTTTGTCTTGGTCTAATTATGAATTTTGTCACTTTACTATGTTTTAATCCGTTTACTTTAATTTGACATACTTCAATCCCTTTATTTTGATAATTTTATTAACAAGTCCAAAGTCATAACATTGCTAGTTACTATCGTTAAACTAATATCATGTACATATTTTTATTATCATTCGATCACAGTTAAAATCACGAAAAATTGAGTCATACATGTTCAAATAATTATAAAATTTCATTTCAACCGAGTGCTTAAGATCCTATTTACTAACAGTAACAACAATATGAATTACCTAAAAAGTTTAGAAAAAGGTAGATTAATTAAATCCTGAAGTTTTCATAATGATAGGGACTAAAACTAGAATTATACCATTTATTTTTAAAATAAAAATTAAAAATACAAGGATAAAATTTTAGTGGGCTGAGAAGGAATATTATACAGACAGACCGTGGTGCACGTTTTGGGCCATAGACGCAGTGACACGTTTTCGTGGCCCTTTTAACCACTGTCCTTTCAAGTCTTTAAGAACGCACACCTCAATAAATCGGACCTCGTCCGCGTTTCCGCTCATTTTCCCACTCCTCTGATTCTTTGACCCAAAAAAAACAAAAAACAAATTTACTCCTCAATCATCATTCAGATCCCTCCGAGATCTGTTATTTGCAAGGGCCGATTTCACAGATCAAAGGTCAGATCTCTTCTCCTTCCATTTCGTTTCCTTTTCTCTCGTTCCTTGTTTCTAGGGTTTCATTTTGGACACACGAGTTGAAATCACCTTTCTGTCTTTTTTGCTTTACTTTTCTTTGTCGTTGTTTTTCAGATCTACTTCCGACGTCTAAAACGGTACCACTTTGTGAACCTCAGCTTTAAAGCCTCCAGCTTTTTTGAGGTTTGGGATTTTGGATGTTGCTTTATGTTTTGTTCACGGATCTGGGTTTGGTATTGTTTATAGATTTGATTTGTTCTATTGGAAATGCCGAATTTGCCCAAAGTTGATTCAGTTCATATTCGGGAAGTTTGGAACGATAATCTAGAAGAAGAGTTTGCTTTAATCCGTGAAATTGTTGATAAATACAATTATGTGGCTATGGATACCGAGTTCCCGGGTGTGGTTCTACGCCCAGTGGGAACTTTCAAGAACATAAATGATTTTAACTACCAAACTTTGAAGGATAACGTGGATATGTTGAAATTGATCCAGCTGGGTCTCACCTTTTCTGATGAGCACGGGAATCTTCCCACTTGTGGAACTGAAGACCCTTGCATTTGGCAATTCAATTTCCGTGAATTTAATTTAAGCGAAGATATCTTTGCCAGCGATTCCATTGAGTTGTTGCGTCAGTGTGGGATTGATTTCAAGAAGAATAATGAGAGGGGTATTGATGTGAAGCGGTTCGGTGAGCTTTTGATGTCGTCTGGGGTCGTGCTGAATGATAGTGTGAGTTGGGTCACTTTTCATAGTGGATATGACTTCGGGTATTTGCTTAAGCTTTTGACCTGCAAGAGTTTGCCTGATAGTCAAGCCGGATTCTTTGATCTGATTAATATATATTTTCCAGTGGTATATGATATCAAGCATATGATGAAGTTTTGCAACAGCCTTCACGGTGGATTGAACAAGCTTGCCGAGTTGTTGGAAGTGAAAAGAGTTGGTGTGTGTCATCAAGCCGGCTCGGATAGCTTGCTCACATCGTGTACGTTTAGGAAGTTGAGAGACAACTTTTTCAACGGCTCCACAGAGAAATATGCAGGTGTGTTGTATGGCCTAGGTGTCCAGAATGGACAGACTAATTAGAAGAAAAAATGTTGATGGATGTAGACTACTTGAGTTTGAGAGTTCCTATTTTCTTTGTATACATTGGCAAAAAAGGATTGTTGATTTAGCTGTGACTTTTCTCCTTTGCTTGCATTGTAACTGATACCTTAACTGGTTTTCCAGTTGAAGTCCAGTGTAAATTATGACTACTGTTTGTATCTTTTCAATAATAATTATAATCTTCTGAATCTTATTGACTTGTCTATTTTCTATACCTGGAATAGCAATTATCAGTATTACGATTTGTTCATGTTTATTTCTTCCCATTCCTAATATTCTTGCAGTTGATCATGTGGTTATTTTGTTTAGATCATTGTAACACTAGAAGTTCTCATAACAGCATTATGGCCCCATAATCATTGTTGAAGAATATAGCATCCTTGCATTGAACTTGTTGGGGGTCTTGATCATATTATTTCAGTATGAGCATAAGAAGAACCAATTGAACACCTTCATTCATACCCTATGTTATTTTAGGATTTAAGAAAATTGTCCGTGAGTCAAAGCAACGGTTCGCTCCCCACTGGAGCGCCTGGTCAGTTTTCGTAAATAATTTGAGTAGACAAGTAACGAGGAGAGCCTTATGGGAACTTTTCAAACATCATAGCAAGGTTACAAAGGTTTACATTCCTGTAGCTGATAGCAGACCAAAGTATAGGAACAATACTTTCGTTTTTGTCCACTTTGCAAGTCAGCAAGATATGGTCTATGTCATTGAGAAGATGGATAATGCGATGTTAAATGGGATGAGGGTTTCGGTCAGGGTGGCGAAATACCAAAAGCTGTAGGCTTGGAAAAGCCCGACTAAAGCAGAAGCTGAAGGGGTGAAGAAACGGATATATGTTTCATAGAAGAGGTGTGAAGAGAGAGAGGTGATGTTTAATAAGTTTCGGGATGAGAGTTCTTACAGGGATATGGTAATGGGGAATGAGATGAGATAAGAAGATCTGCGAAGTAGTAAGAAGAGTGGAAGAGTAATACCGAAGAACCCATTGAATGTCTACATTCCAAAGGAGGAGAGAAGTTGGATTAGGACGCTAACCGACATAATCAAACAATCCTACTATGTGGAGCTCATGCAGGAAGCGCTTTGAAGTGATGGGTTTAATGCAAAAGTGGTGAGATGGGGTTATGCAGGGAATGTCTATTTGGTTACCTTTCCAACATAAGAAGCTAAAAAGGAAGCGTTGGAAGGAAAAGTTACAGAGATCAATGTTTGGTTCGATTGGTTTTTTCCGATGTCCATAGAAGGGGATGCTAATGACTTTTTGTTTAGTATCACTAATTGGGGTTCTCTGAATTGTTGGAGTGAAGTTTTCTTTTCCGGTTTGGCTTCAAGATAGGCGGAGATGATGAAGATAAGGGATGAGACCCTTCAAAGAACTGATTGCATGGTGGCTTGAATGATTATAAGGGCAACAAGTCCTTTTGACATTCTAAACTCGATAACCATTAACACGAATGTGAGGCCATATCAGATTAAGATTAAAGTGGAGACGGTGGATGAAGGTTTTTCTGATGTTTCAAGGGATTTAGAAGGAAATTCATCTTGTAACACCCTCAGACCCGTACCCGACCCGAATACGAGTCTGAGGTGTCACATTGACTTCTCAAACTTTGGCTCTTGACAAAATTCAAAGAAAATTTAAAACTCTCATTAAAGTAAAAGCAGTTTATTTACATAAATTGATCACAATAACTAAAATCGATCAGAGCATATTTAACTCAATCAATTATTACATGCCAACTATATTCAAAATAACCAAAAACATTTAAATCATCTATTTTCTGATCTGAAATTTTGTAAGAGAGATGCTGACATGTCTTGCTCTTCTTCGCTTCTCTTCTCGCTTCTGTAACCTACGTGTGAAACAATCACACGCTAAGTCTATGACTTAGTGAGTCATTAAATTATAAAAGAACTCTAACTATTTACACATGCATGAACATATCATCTTATAATACCACATCAAAACAATATAACATTATATATAACATATACATATCACACATTATTTTAAATCTCTAACCTTAGTTCACTAACAATATTTTTATCATTTATATCTTATAATTATATCCTCTTATATCTATTTTTTTTCTTACTCAACATATTATTCAATTAACCAAGCAATACATACATCATCATATAAATCATATAAGAAGTACATGCATGCATATAAATCATCATTAATCACATAGCACATATACCTAACCTTCTTAATCATATACTATACCTATACCTCATCATGTCCTTACTATAAAATTTATCATATCACAATATATATTTGTTATCATTTCTTGATTAGCCCATGTACATATGTGAGAACTATTGATATGTGAGTCTCTAGAGGTTGTGCACTAATGCTGTCACCATAGCTCGTATAAATGCACCGAAGTGCCACGTAGAATTGCACTGAAGTGTCGCGTAGAATTGCACCGAAGTGCCGCGTAGAATTGCACCGAAGTGCCATATAAAATGTCCCTAAGGACCATGTAAAAAATTCCTTAAGAATCATATACATATACAAAGGATCAAGTATGTGTCTCAAAAGACATCACACATGTTCCAAGGAATACATATATGTCCCGAAGGACCGCATAGACCCTCGACTCTTGGCATGCCAACTATACCTCTAGCTCTCAAGACACATAACATGGGCATTAATATTTATGTTTGTCACATATTAACACATTCGTAT